AAGCTTGGAAATGACAGACTCTATCAAAAATTGCTGCTCTTCTTGTATTTTTGTTTTCATTTTCTACATAATTATCTGTTGCACAAAAGCCGATGTAGAAGGTAGTCAAAAAATAAGATTTTTTATGAGAAAATCACATATGAAATTAATGAATATCACAAATCCTGAGCTTTAATTGAAGCATAATTTTGAAGCAGAAAGAAACATTCCTGAGACAGTAAGTAGATTCAGCTATACCAGCCTCAGCTTTTCTTATTTGGTGGCATCAAGCTGAAGATTTTCTTTTTCTCTAGGGGATGGACACATAATATTCATGTTAACTTATTTGCTAATGAAGAAATTAAGAGACACAATTATATTTGATCATGAGCTCATTTTAATTTCTCAGAAGAGGAAAACAAAATGAATGCAAGGGTCCATGGGTTTTGTAGGGGCCATCTAAGCAGATTGTGACATTAACTTCCACAGAAAATGCAAAGCTTCCCTTTGCCTTTAGGCCAGACATTGCAGTTTTAAAATGACATAACGTGACCTCATGAATAATTTGAGGTCTAACTTCGTGAACTTCAATTACAAAGTTACATAGAGTTCCACAGAATAAAAGGCAGATCTAAGTAGTTTACATTTTAGTCATGGATTAAAAAAAAGATAAAAGGATAAATGCCATCTGGAAGATTAAAATGAACAGTAGGCACATAATGGGTGGTCAGTCCTAATAGGCCGCCTGTCCGTTTCAGAGGCGTGATCACTTCCAGTGACCAGCAGTTATTCTCTCTCTACAGACTATTTGCTTCAAAAAACACAAGACGTGAGACAACAAGAAGTTGTGTTGAGGAGTTTTGGGGACTATGTTAGAGTCTGGAATTTCAAGTGGCTTGTTTACCAATGTCTCAGAAAGAGTTTGGGTGTGATTAATTTTGTTTTACGTGGTCACTTCCTCAAGTATAATTTGTAGAACCAAAGGCAAGAACAACAACTTTTGTTTGCTTGCCTAAGGATACTTAATCCTCCACTCTCCCTTATAAGCATTTTAGGTCATAGGTCTTTCTTGAAGAGATAAAGTATTGATTTGTTTTGCGACACAAGTGACTGGCTTTAACTGGTTCCTTGTATGTAGCGTGAGCAGTTTGGATTAATTGTTTTCTAAACTCCCCATTCCAGTTCTGAAATTCACTCAGGTTGTGAAGACATTGTGTACATGTATACAAAGGGATGCTATTTATGTTGTTTCTTCTGTCGTTATCATATGTCCTTGACTCACTCATATCTTTGAAATTGCAGCATGTAGAGACTGGTAAATCCAGCAGCCCAAGGCATTGGCTTGTATAATCCAGTGGAAAACAAATATGAAAAGCTCATCTTTGGTTCATATGAGTTAGCGGTTTTCTCCTGGACTCTTATTTTCTTCAGTTGAAATAGAATTTCTCTGTGGATTTTTTAATATTGCTTCAACATTTAAAGACTTCATAATATTTCCTTTTATTTCCTCAAGTGAGAAAAGAATTTAATCCAGACATGAGATTGTGAGTGAAAATTTTTCTCCATACCCTGAAATATTGTCTCTTAGGCAGTTTTGATCATCTCCAAAGAAAATGTTCAAAAACACAGTGGGACGTGCCTCCAGGGGCATGGATGGAAAAGCATACACAGCTCCCCTAACCCAGTGAGATGCCTGCAAGAAAGGTAAAGAAATGAAGTTTATCTTACTGGATACACACGGACTATTTTCCAATTCTTTAGATGGCTATTTCAAATATTTTAAAGGCTATTTCTAAAGAAAAGATCTAATTTCATGCCTTCCAGTTATTCAGAAAAAAATTTTAAAATTTATATTTGGCACTTAAGCCTCAATTTAAGACAAATTTTGAGTGTGATATGGAAAACCATCTTATCATGAGCCTGTGGGAGTGAAATATGGTGATTCCCCTCACGTTCAAGATGGAGAGATGCTCCCGAAGTCCTCGTAGGAGAAAGGGATGATGTAGCCTATGGCCACAAAGCTTAAAGCCCTCCCCCACTAGTTTAGCTCTTGGATGGATCCATTGCTCAGAAAGCTTATATAAAAGCTTGCAGATATCACAAAGAAACAGTGTTTAGAAGAGAAAGTTAAGCAAGTTTGAATATTCAAAAAAAAATGAATAAATGCAATCTAAATAAGACACCAAAGGAACATAATGGAATGAACTCAGATAGATTGAATTATGTCTGAGGAAGGAGCATATTCAGATAAACATTCTTATTACAGTTTTTAGGGGGAAATGTTTAAATTTTTTATAAAGCAAAATAATGACCAAAAGCTGATTCAGAGGGTTAGAAATTAATCACAAAGTAAGATGGCAGACTTATTTTCAGAGCACTAGTTTATAAATAGGTATATTTTTAAGAAGAGATTTTCAGTCATTTTTATAGGATAAGGTATCAGCAATTATTTGGGGGAAGAGAAATGGGCAGGAAACGTTTCTCTCGCGTCTGGGTGCAGACAAGTTGTCTTTCCTGATAATGTAACTCAAATATTGTAGAATACAGTGTTTTACAAGAACTTATAAAAATAATTGGACTTAACCTCAGGCCTATTTCATGTGATATGCTGAATATATTTATTTTTTCATTAAATTTTCTTATTTCAAGATGTTAATATGGAGACATTTGTCTTTAACAAGGCCAGTGGCCTATAAGAGAGAATGCATGTGTGTTTACTAGCACTATTTATAGTCCCTGAGAAATATAATAGATACTTAAGAAAAAAATTTTGGTCTACATTGGCAAAAATAAAAATGAAATGTCTATCGGGCGCTTTTCTTAGAAGAACAAAATGTTTTTTCAATTTTATCTTTCTTCTTCAGTCCTTTCTTCCTTCCCTTTTTCCTTCCTTCTTTCTTTCTTTCGTAGCTTAAATGTTTATAACTTTCTGTTTAAAGTAATTTTATGGTTTCTCTCTCCTGTAAAAGCTGTTCTCACACTTTTAAACTTATTTTCATTGTACCTTTCTAGCTACAGTGATCGAGTTCCCCTTAAAAGCAGTCGAAGTGCTTTGCTGAATTCATTCAGAACTTCCCTTGCTTAAAATGGATGCCTTTGCCTTTATATTGAAATCTATTTTAACAGCAGATAACCTTGAAATCAGGTCATTTTGATGACATACTAAACTCATGCTTATACTTAACATTGAAATAAAACTAAAATCTTATTATCCTATTGAACATATCCTGTTAGGCATAACATTTAAAGCATATGCAATGTTTTGTTGTTTATTTTCCAAGTAATGTTTAGTATGGGGCAGGCATGTTAACTTGGATTGTATTTCTATGTTCAGAACACATTCTCCATGAGAGAATGTTTGAACATAAAGAGACTTCTTTCTCAGAATGACAAACTTCAAAATCTTTTGCTGGATACACAAAGGATAGAGAGTCTAGTTGGCCTAGACATGAACAGATATGAGATATCCTCCATGACTGTCTCCAAATTTCATATTCTGCTCCTACCGAAAGTGAAAAATAAATAATATATCTTAAAAAATAAATAATATTGTTATGAAGTTATTATATCTTAGTTTTCTGATCTCTTAAGTTATTGCTGCATTCAGCAGTGAATGATAAGTGGTTTAAAAATCCAACAGCTATGTTAAGGTTAATTTTTTCTGTCCAGTAAAGGCATTTGCCAACTACAAAATCTTTTCTATAAAAAGAAAATATATATACTGCATTGGTTTCCTGATAGCATTGTTAAGACCAACTCATATTTCCAACTAATGCTGAAGATTTGTATTATAGTTGCATAGAAATAATAATGGAATACAAAAATTTGTCCTCTGCTTTGATGGCAAATGATTTTAATTTTGTTAAAAATATTTAAATCCACTGAATAGTTGGATTTCCTAAGGAGAAATAGAATTTTTAATGTGATATATATTGTTGTTTCAGTTCTTAATAAAGAGTAGAATATACATCTCAAATCTAAGTAGGTTTGTTCCACATTCTAAAACTTACTGTTTTTTTTTTTTTTGGTGCCTAAAATAATATTCGTGATTCATAAAATCCCAAGAAACATTACATAACATTACATAATTATTGTGTTATGCAAAGGAAAAGCAAATATACAACACAAAAACACATCATGTAATGAAGACCTTAATGTTATTTGAAACCTCTGCTCCATTCCAAAATACATGCATGGAGGAAAGGGAGGCAGGAGGTATATCAATTTAAAAACAAAAAAAGTAAGCATAGTATGGTGGGCTTTTATTTCGAGAAATTTCTCTGGGTATGTGACTTTCTGTACTTTTCCTCTTCCCGGCTTGCCCGCTGGAGCGGCAGGGTGCCCGCGTGAGCTGCTTCTCTTCCACCGCAGGCTGCTGGGCAGTAAAATCGCGCGAAACAGTCGCGTGTGACCGTCCTGGTGCGAACAGTTAACGCCTGGTTGAGCAGCCCTTTCCTCCAACGCCTGTCCTCGGGCCCGGGCGGCCTCCCCGCCGCACCCCGTTCCTCGCGGGCCCTCAGCGACGCCCCACTCCCCTCGGACCCCCGCCCGGCCCGGCCTCGCCGCAGCCCGGCGGCCGCGTTGTCCTCCCCAGCACCGAACCCCCGCTCCGCCCGGGCGGGCAGGCTCCGCCGATGGGGAACGCGAACCGGAGAAACGCGGGCGCCGCTGCCCCCCAGGAGGGCGGCGAGACGCAGCCGCCCCGCCCCGCCGCGCGGGCTGCGGCCGGTGCGGGCAGGTGCGGCGGCGCCCGGCGCGCAGAGAGTTAAAGGCATCATCGCGGCCATTAGAGGGAAAAGTTGCGGCGGCGAGCGCGGCGGAGTCCCCGCGCCGCCCTGCCCGCCCCTCTCCCGCGGGCTCGGCGCGTGGGGCGCGGATCGCGCGCGGCTGCCAGGGGCGGGCAGCAGCCAGCCCGCGGCGCACGCACCGGCCGGCGCCTCGCGGGTCCGCCTGGCAGCCGCCGAGCCGAGCCGCCGCCTCAGCCCGCGAAGCCCGCCCGCTCCGCAGCCAGCCCAGCCGGCCAGCGGCGCAGGGTCGGAGACCAGCCTGCTGATAGGGTCGCACTCTTCCCTGGCAGCGCTTGGAGGCTGCCGGCTACACTGATGTGACCCCCCCCTTTGGAACGATGGGGATCTTTTTGGCGTATGTTGGATTTGTTTTCTTTTCCGTGTTATATGTGCAACAAGGGCTTTCTTCTCAAGGTAAGTCTGTGCTTGGTGGCACACTTACGTTTGCTTGCGGTGTGTGTGTGTTCCCCGCATTCAAAGAACGGACAGGCAGATGTGATAAGGTTGCTAGCGAGTGACAGTGGGTTGAGATTGCGTGAATAGTGTTCTGTTTGGCATTTTTCTTTAAAGTTGATTAAACTGTCAGCAAGCGAGGTTTGGGGAAAAATCTAGCTGGTGCCTGACAATGAAGTGGGTTCCTCTGTGAGCACAAACACAGGGTTGCATGTGTGTGTGTGTGTGTGTGTGTGTGTGTGTGTGTGCACGCTTCCCATCTGTGTGCATGCACAGGGTAACCACTCATGCATACATAATCATCACAAACAAACACAGAGCTGGATATGGGGACTTTCCATTGCCAGTCCTCTTTGCTCCTGTAGGCAGACTGGGTTTAGAGTCTCTCTTCTCTGGGTCCCTGTGACTTCATTTGTATGTGTGTTTATCAAAGGACAGACTCCTCTGAGGACCCATAAAAAGGCACGACTTGCATTACAAGCAGCAGCAGCCTGCTGAATCCAACTGTTCAGGACCTCGTAGGCTGCAGTGGTCGTTTCAGCACCATGAACAGATCACATCTCTGCTGCCAAAAGACTGCATCACTTCTGCAAGCAGAAATGCCATACTCCTCCAGCTTGAACAGAAAAGTCCTTTTCAGAGAAGAATGCCTTCTTAATAGCTTCCCCTCCCTTTAAGTATAAATACAGTTTCATTTCACTAGAGATCATTTTGGGATTTCATAAAATTTTGAAAAGAGACACTGATGATGTCCCTCTTTAAAAAGTGGGGGGACAGTGCACCCACCCTAAATAATTCCTGCAGTCCCCACAGTCCTCCTTTCCTTAAGTATGCATTGTGGCTGTGCACTTCCATCAGCCACAGATTTTTCCAGGACTACTTTTAGGGAAACATCAGCTCTTTGCAAAGTGCCCCTTAGACAAAATAAGAACAACCATGTTGTTAACAAGGTAAGAGCATTCCATGTTCAAGAAATGCCTTTAGGAGGAAGAAAACATTTTATTTTTGTGAGTTTTACTATGGCTCCATGAATCCTGCAAACTAGCAGTGTGAAGGTTGGTAATAAAAATGCTGGGGAAAAAAATCTCCATAGTGACTTCAAAATAATCTTTAACCTGAATAAGACTGGATGTGTGATTGTTACATCTCAAGCTGTATGGCAATTTCCCATGCAGTGGCTTGATGGGGACAAATAAAGGTTAATTTGGAGAGAAAGAAATATACACAGCTTGTAAAGTGGGCAACTTGTTTCACTGCTGTAGCTTGTATCACTGCTGTTGCCGATAACTATTTTGATATATCAGGAATGTGCATTTTGACAGATAATCATGATCCACTCTGTTACATGAAACATCCAGTTAGTCATAGATTGTTTAGAAACTTAGAGGGAAGAGGCTCTCCTCATATTCCAGCTTGACAGATTGTCTAAATGGTACCTCACTGAATTTCTCAGTAAGTTTTGTAGAATACTGCAATCTGACAAAAGGCATTTAGATCTAACCGTGGGCAGCCTGGCTAACAGAGAGAGTTATCGGCAAGTTTGTTAACCTTTCCATGATCTGATTTAGGCACTAAACCCAAAGCAAGACAGGAAAGGGGCAAAGGAAGGGGGCTCGGGGAGCCGGCAAAGCCAGGGATGTCACTGATAGAGGGGTTTGGTTACTGGGTTTTTTGTTATTTTTTTTTTAAGTTCAAGAAAATTTAGCAAGCTCTCAAGGAAAGAGACGATGGCAAGAGCGGTGTAGGTATTCCAAAGGATGCATTTCTGTTTTTCAGCAAAATTTACCGAGTTTCCGCGGAACGTGACGGCGACCGAGGGGCAGAATGTGGAGATGTCCTGCGCTTTCCAGAGCGGCTCCGCCTCGGTGTACCTGGAGATCCAGTGGTGGTTCCTGCGGGGCCCGGAGGACCCGGAGCCCGGGCCCGCGGTGGCGGGCGCGCAGGTAGCCGAGGCGCGAGCCCGCAAAGGCCC